CTCTCTTGCCTTACTTTTAGTAAAGAAAATCATCTTCCCAATTCATTTTTCTTCTTTTAATGTTGAGGTGCTCGTACTTTTAGTAAAGAAAATCATCTTCCCAATTCATTTTTCTTCTTTTAATGTTGAAGTGCTCGTACTTTTAGTAAAGAAAATCATCTTCCCAACTCATTTTTCTTCTTTAATGTTGAGGTGCTCGTACTTTTAGTAAAGAAAATCATCTTCCCAACTCATTTTCTTCTTTTAATGTTGAGCTGCTCGTACCTTTAGTAATGAAAATCATCTTCCCAACTCATTTTTCGTCTTTTAATGTTGAGGCGCTCCTACCCCCCTCTCGCCTTGTCTTGTCTTGTCGCCTTGTCTCGTCTCTTGTCTTCGCTTCTCTTCTCTTTTCGTTCTCGTTCTCCTTCTCTTCTCTTCCCCCTCTTCGTCTTTTTCAATCAGGCCATGCATTGGCGCACAGTCGCGCGTGTGTAGAAAAACGTATAACAGCCTTGGTTTTTCCACGCGTTTTGCGGGAACTCGCTGCCAATTGGGTTCTATATCGCTTACACTGTCACGGCGTTATTCTAGGCAATGGCTCTTACACGACTTCGTTCTGACACCGCAACCTGTGCACCTTCCAAGTCATGTCGCGCACAAGCCCCTTGCAACCATTTCCTCGCTACTTTTTTTCGCTTACATGTCGCTTTTGCAGAAGCTCTGTGTTACACACGCGCTCTCTGCAAGTACTGTTCGCTGCCCACTCGCTTTTACACCAGCGCAGCTTTTGTTTTTGGCCAGTTGCTCTCCACTTACATGGCTCTTACACTACTTCGTTTTGACGCCGCACCTCATTGACACAAACATCTCCAGCCAGCGTGCATGTTCCAAGTCATGTCGCGCACAAACCCCTTGTTTTCACGCACTTTGATATTACACTCTGTTAGCTAACCTTTGCATAACCTGCACACAAAAAACACAATAGCTACACACAGCTACACACGCCCGGGCCATGGCGACCAGCCGTGCGGGCTCGAGCTGATGGCCGGCGGCATGCCGAAGGCTGTAAATAAATCATCCTTGGAGTGATCTTACCCTTTTATGTTGATGGCATATCTTGTGTGTGGTCCTTGCGTGGTTCGAGCATGATCCTAAATGATCCTACGGTGTCCAAACCTGGCACCATTTATGGAGAGGCTCCATCGTCAGTATGTTCCTTTCCTTTACTAAAATGTGTTGCGTTTGTGTGCGTGAGTGCTTCGGTTTGTGACATAAACTGGCCAAAAAAAATCATGTTGATGATCTAAAGTTGAGCACCACCTCCCAAAAGCATGCACTTTAGCTACGCTTGGAGAACAACAAATGAGATTTGCTGCAATGCTTCAGGTGCTGGCGTGGTTCACCCGTGGTGGCCTGTGGTCGGTGCTACATCTTGGTACCCCGTCCGCGCATGCATCTTGGATACCCTTGGGGCTTCCAGGGTTCTTGCATGTATTGTGCTTACGTTTAGTGTTGCCATTAATGTGGTCCTCTGATTTATAAACGCCCCTAGAATAATGTTATTTTTTCCTGCGCAGATTTATAAAGGCCCCCAGAATAATGTCCTTTTTTTGGAGGGTAGTTTATTTTTTCCCCTTTTGAGTTTGCTGGGATTTGCTTATCTTACAGGCTTTTGGATGGAGATTTCAATTAAACATTTGAAAATGTCCCTTTCTTTTCTTTTGGTTTGCTTTACTTACCTAAGCTCTTTAGTCTTTAAGCTTTCCAACAGTTTCCAAAAGTCAGTGCACACTTTCTTTACAAAATCCCTTATTCAAAAGTATTGAAAAAAAAAACAAAAAATCATTCAAACAAAGAGGGTAGTCCAGCAAGCAGCTTTCTGACATTATTTAGGGGGGGCCCTAGAATAATGTCTATCCTGTATTCAAACGTATTGAAAAAACAACAAACTCATTCAAACAAAGGGGGTAGTCCAGCAAGCAGCTTTCTGACATTATTTGGGGGGGGCCCTAGAATAATGTCTAGAGATTTCAGGCGTTAAAAACATGTTGCTTTAAGTAAACTTGTAAACATTCCCTTTCATTTCCTTTTGGTTTGCTTTACTTACCTAAGCTCTTTAGTGTTTAAGCTTTCCAAAAGTTTCCAAAAGTCAGTGCACACTTTCTTTACAAAATCCCTTATTAAAAAGTATTGAAAAAACAAAACCATCATTCAAACAAAGGGGGTAGTCCAACAAGCAGCTTTTCTGACATTACTTAGGGGGCCCTAGAATAATGTCTAGAGATTTCAGGCTTTAAAAACATTTTGCTTTAAGTAAAAGTGTATTCATTCCCTTGCTTTTCCTTTTGGTTTGCTTTACTTACCTTGCTTTCCAAAAGATCCAAAAGTCAGTGCACACTTTCTTTACAAAATCCTTTATTCAAAAGTAT